CCACAACCATGATGAATGTCAGGTTGTGCATATTGAAAGTCTTGTTTTATGCGAGGCACTCTTGCAATTAATCGACACTACTGAAGCGTGCTTAATGGATAAGGGAGAAAATGCTTAACTCGTATGAACTCGTCTGGTTGCTGGTGGTAACTAGGACTGGTCTAAACCACCACATTTGTGAACGTTGTTTTGACATCGCCATCAGCTCTATTACCACCAGTGTCGCTACAGAAGCTAGTCGCGCATACGGGTAACTGCTGGCGATGCTGTCATCAGCTGACCTTGTACCTGCTGAGTGATAGCAACTATGAAATTCACGTTGAGAAATGAAAGCTCATCGATTTCCAGATGGGTTTTAATAAAACAGAAGGTGGAAAATGCGTTCGCGTCAGATTAGAAAGTGAGCTACGACAATCTTCGAATACAGAAGGCCATTCAGCATGAGTAGGTTTCAGCGTGTGCTGCGCACTCTTATGGGTGATCTGACAGACTGGCGTCTCTGACAGCCAAACTTTATCCAGTTGTGGCAGGTAAACAGTATGAATGTAATGATTAGAAGGAATTCTTTGAACCACATCGAAATAAATACAAGCTATTACGTTCTCACTGACCGAATGATGTCAACTTTGGGCTTCATAAAATGAACCAGATGGTTCCGTCGAAAGTTCCTATATTCTTACCCAAAATGTACGGGTGGAGTAAAACGGAATGGATTTTTAAAGCTTTGCGTCGAACTTACTCTCATTGTAAACAACTGTTGTACATTAAATACGCTTTATTATTTTACGTATCTGTATAGTTTTCATCCGGAAGGTAAAGAGTAACGAGCTTATTAGCGTCCGTTTTTTATAAGCAATCTTCCCAACCAAGTGTTGTTAATGGGCAGGCAAACAAATGAGACTATTCGTGGTTCGGTTGACGCTAGAATTCATTTCTGCTGTAGTTCATTCGGATGATAACTCTGTGGACCGTAAGTAATAGGTCTATTTACCTCATATCTGTTCTCCTCTACAGTGTTTTGAGCACACAAAGCAAATCGTGAATATGCCGTCAGGAATTCATCCGCCAAAACCCAAAGTGCGCCGGCTTCTCCTTGCAGTGAAAATTGCTCATCCGAAAGGCTGAGTGCTTCTTTTTTCATACACGTTTGACAAATAACAATTAACAAAAAAGCGTTTCAGCGTAGATTGTCTTCACTTACAGGACGAAATCTCCACAAAAATCCGAAATCTCCTCACACTACCAATTCATCATTTGGTCCGCAGTATACTTTCAGATATACCATCTCCAACCTTTGCTAGTGAAAGCATTTGATCCAAGTTAAACGTTTTGACAAGTGAGTTTGCGAAATAGTGCTGTTCGCACAAACGCCGAAACCCCAAAGGGTGACGAACTACATCCTCCGCGTCCTATCCAATTTCTGAAAGTTGGAAACAGGATTAGGAGAAAGGGATCCTTCTGACGAATGGTAGTAAAGTGGCTACGAAGGTGCACCACTGTGTTAACTGTTTCATTGTGAATTGAATATCTGAGGATACAAAAACCACTATTCCGGGATGTGATACAAGTACAACCCTAGTTAAACAACGCATTACTATTGGTGCACATTCCATTGGTGACGTTTTTCAGCTTTAAAATTATTTACTTTTCGATTTTTTTTGCACTCTTATCGATGAATTAATGTCTTGCATCGCAATATCTCTACCAGGCTTGTTGTTACGGTGACTGTATAACCTAATGCACCGGTGGTATCGACTGGTGCCACAGAGTACCAATACAATGCATCAACCTCCACAATTGGAGCTAGTATGTGAGAGTTGTCCATCTGGGTCTCATACGCACTATCAAATATCATCCCGAGCCAATTGGCCCCAGTGCTGATACGAACTCTGGTCACTAGTTTAAACTGGAGCGATGTAACTGGCTCAGATAGGGTAAACAGCGTTACAGCACTCGACAACAGCACAGTCGTAAGGGGGATGAGTTGCTGGAATTCGGAGCACCAAACAGCCTCAAATAGCTATCCAATTATGCAGAAAATAGAAAATGCCTACCGTGATTGGCTACTTTGCAAGTTGGCATCAGTTTAATTGCATTTTATTCTAATTATAACCGTGATATTGTTCGCTTTTTAGGGAAGTTATTTTTGACACATTTGTTTCTCCAAATTCCACAGAGCCCCAGTTTTTGCACGCCATCCAAGCGACCGCTTGCAGTCCATATGATCACTGTTTCTGCCAAAATTCATTGTACAATGGCAAACTCGGTTAATACACTTAGTGTTACTAATGTCTGCTATTCATAATTCGTTGAGAAATCTGCTTTTTTGTTCCGATGTATACAGCCACATTAGATGCCATCGATTTTGCCTATAAGTAGTTCTTAAAATTGACAATTTCACTGTTAAACCACATGATTGTTTACAAGTATTGACGTGGGATCCCTCACTTCGCTGAAACTAGACGGCGGATACAATGATGGGTATCCCAAATGTACTTGTTTTTTATAGGTCGGTTTTTGTAAACCCAGCCAAATGCGCAGATATTCAATGGCCACCGACCCACTAGATGATGCGTTCCAGGTAATATAGTTTGTGTTGTTGTTCAGGCCAAAGCTTTCTTGATATTTCAAAAAGGGCGCATAGTTGGAAATCTTAGTTATTGTTTCCGTTGTTTAAAAATCCACCGAGTGCACTTCTTGTCCGTTATGCGTATTGACGTCATGCTAATAAATGTTTGTTTTTCGCTGTATGATCTGCATAAAAATATTTGCTTAGCTTGCTTCGTGAATCCAGAGTCACGTTACAAAATTTTGATGTTCCGTCAATCGGACAGCGTTGCCAAAGTTTGTGTGTATCAACACAAACCTAGTGTCGTTCAGCTCATAGCCCTCATTTTGCCGAACAATGACATCTAAAATTTTGATTGATTTTCTCTCTAACGGTAGGTTTGCCACACCGGGTAGTGTCATCGGTGCTAAAACCATAAAAATAAGTCTTTGGCTTTGTTAAAACAGCTTTCTTTGTTCGTTTATTTGCCAGCGAAGTGTCTCAATACATCGACTTCAGTGTCGTAGGGAACGTTCCTGACCGAAACATAGATTTCATACTGATAAGGTTTTTTTGTTTACAAATTCATGCTGTTAGTGCATATCAGCCTGACCTTGGGTAGTCCATACGTGCACACTAACTGAAAGCTCTTAAGACAGAAAAAACTGGACTTGATTTCGGCTAAATATAATTCTAAAATCAATTGAGCTCAATACCGGACACATATCTTGGAGCAATTATCCGAGGAAAACTGACGATTGGCAAATTTTCGCACCCAGTAACATTTGAATAATTTGTTTTTTTGCTCTGACACATAAATTTGTTGAACACCAGTAGGCAATTAGGCAGCCCTGTGTCTAGGTTGGATCTGTAATCTTTGATTGGTTGTAAATGCAGCGGCACTATGAAATGCGAAACTAAATTAAGTACTAAGTGATACCGGCGTAGAATGTAATGTAATGCAAAATATGGCTCTGATACTCATAAGCTGGTCCTAGAATAGGGGTAACCAAAAGTTAATTCCACTCAGGGAATTCAGCCACTAATCGTGTCCGGTGAAGTAGTTATAACCTCTGTTGTACAAGCTCTGTTTATGGGGACACCTGCAATAAATATCTTAAAAATGTCCTCGAGTGTGGAATGTTTATTTTAAATATAGCTCTACGAATGTAAGTCCATCTCCCAAGGTTGGTCATTAATTTTATTGCTATGAAGTTTTTAAAAAACATTATGTTAATTTATGAAAATAACAACTAGTATTCGGATTGTGGCGTCATTTGTGACACCGTCTTTTTGAACAGACCTTACATGAAAATGCATAGCGAAGAAACTGATGATGCTTCAAAATGTTGGGAGCCAGTACATTGGTTAGAACAGGTATTACCGAGTGCGCTCATCACTTTTAGCATTTTATATGTACTCACATAATATAAACACAGTTTCCGTCAAAGTAATTAAATTTTCTTTCTGGTTCAGCTGAATTAGACATCTATTTCTCTGCCTTTTATTCGCATGCACTGACAACGGCTCCATTACGGAAAGTCTCCATCGGTGAATCTCGCGCTTACTCAAGACTTTCTATATACTAATCCAAACCACTGGGAGCTGAAAATCCAACTAATACCTTTGTGAGTGTAAAAGTAGGTCTGACTGGTACACAGAAATCTTTCTGAGTCATTCATTTGCTGCTGACGAACGAAACGGAGGAAGAATTGTTGACCACTCCTTGTGTAACGCACGTTTGGCAAACACATGAAGCACTTCAGTTAATCCAACGTTTGGTCACTCATATAAGCCTATCAGGGTGCCCCACGTTGCAGTACTGCCAACAAGGAATCCGTCTGTAGCGTGCGAGTCTATGGAGCGGTCGCATCAACAGAGATTCAGCAAACCAAACCCAAAACCATCCAGGTTCAAAAGTTCAGTTGAGTTGAGCGCAATACGGGTTAGTGGGAAAGGAATGATTGAGCGCATCCAAAGGACCTTCAATGAGATTTATCAACTGTAAGTTGTTTCACATGTACCAGTTGCAGTGTATTCCGCTAAAATGCAAATCGACCGATTGACATTTACGGCCATCTTACCCGACGCCTGGTTACACTCATATATAATTGGTCATACTATTATAGTTTACAGTGCCAAACCAGACAGTCCTTAACACATCAAGAATTAGTACATCGTGAGAAATCAGCCAAGGCAAGAGTCTAGACGCCGTGAATTGTGTTTTGCGTAAGATCTGATATACGAGGTGTTATTAAAATGTTGGGATTTTCAGTGACATCCTACAAACTCCAGCGCAACGCATTAAAACCTATCGCCGGGATGCTGCCCCACATGAGCTAGTGCAGAGAACTAGGACTTACAAACCGCAGTTGAAACACCCTTCAGCTGTGTCCGCGTTGGGAAATACATGATTAAAAATATGTTATGTTTTCCTTAGTAACCTGTATCATTGCGGTTCGTCATTCACAGTGCTAAATGTCGGTGAATAAGCAAGCAGTACAGGGTAAGCAGTGCAACGCTGACTGTACCGTCGCTCAGAAATAGCTGGATAATTTATTTATCGAAGTTATAAACAGTGGGGTGAGAAGACCTAGAAATAATGAATTGGTCGAAGATAATGATGAGGTGACATGACTGGGCGGAAGCGGATGAAAATAGGAGTTTCCATGCTGATAGATGGGAAGGGCGGATAGAATTGCCTGGCATAATCTATCCAAAACTTTCGAGTAGAATACACGTGTGTACACGTTTAAGTTCAAAAGCATGATTTATACTTATTCACTGTGAAGTAAGATGAATATGTTGCTTGGAAGAGTACTTTTAGCGATTAACTGCGGCTGTTGATCAACCATCCGGAGAATTGTTGAGTTCGATTTTCCATTCATTTGTGAATAACCAAGTGGCGTACTATTATAGACTTCCTATTTGATTTCAAAGTTCCTTATTCACATCCACACGCGCACTGGTCACTGACCACGTATTCGTGTCGACTCCATTCACAGTAGTATCCATTAGCTGTCAAACTCAACTTCCGAATCAGACGCCTGACACGTCGTGAACGACGTTCCTCACGTGGTATACGTCGCCTTAGTAATTGCCCTTCACGCTTGTAACGTTTGTAGTAGAACGGATATTCGTGGCGCCTTCTTCGTTTTTGCAAATCGTCATCTGTTGGGTTCGAATCGTTTTTGCAAACCTGAACAAAATATTAGATGGAAGGAATATATGGTTAATACGAAACACAACTACGTGTCAAGAAACTACCTTATGTAAACTTAATTAGATGAAAGGTTTTTGTGCAACAAAGAGAATGAAAACAATAATTTTCATGAAGAGTCATTAGATCCTTGCAATCTCAGATGCATCGAGTTTGTGAAGGCTATCATGAGGTAGTGTACTAACTAAAACCACAGAAAGGTTAAAATTCCGACGATCGAAGCTTCGCATAGGAGCCAAGTAAAGAACGAAATCAACAGGTAATGCCTGATTCCTGTGATTGTCATCCAGGCAATTATATCACCTCCATACATCTAGACAGATGTACGCGCAGAGCGTATGTGAAAACCAGGGGTAAATTTTCCCTAAGAAGTGGAACTTCTGGAGGCTCATGAGTGGAGAGGCCATATGGCTGACATCACTGTCGGACAAATGCGTAGAACAGGATGTTTCGCAATCTAGCACAAGCTCATAGGTCGCAGAAATTTCTTTTGGACTCAAAGTTTGGGTTCTTGCGGTTGGACTGCAATGGCTTGATAACAGTCTGGACCGTATCATCAGTAATCGGTTAAGAGTTAGTTGGTGTACGTCGTCGAAGGCGTACTGCTCATCAAAGAATTGATTGGTTTCGACAAGGCGGTCCAACTAAGCATCTAATTAAGTTAAGATCGGGCTAGAATTTGACTAAGAGAGCAAGAATTATATTCTTCTCCGACAGTTTATAAGAGGATTTAAGGTTTCCAGGAAAAAAGCAAATTAACAATGGATATGCCTGGTAAAGATGTGAATGCAGCCCGAAAAGCATAGAACCAAATATTTTCCAGTTGGGTAAAAAAACATCTTCATAAGGCTCCTATTCAAAGGTGACTCGGCTTCTGCACTGGTAGTCAGAAAACGTAAATTTGGGTTGACAAGACATTCGTGGCAGCTAATCTGTACTTGAGTTTTAGTTTGAAGGACAAATTTTCATCATCTACCATGAGCTTCTGTGTGCACTCATTTGGGTGCTCGTGCGGAGCATCATACATTGGTCTAACGGCGAGGCGTTTGTAAGACAGAATACGGAAATTCACTACATTGCCTATTGGTCGAAAGAAACTTAGCTCAATTTAAACTGCGTCATATCTGAAACACCACGTATACAGGATACCTCCAAGACGATCACGGCTTGTACGATCCAAATTGTTATCGAATGACTGGAATCTGACTGCAAATTTCTTACCTCTATGTTCCTAAGAAACCCAATTTACCTCTGAGCTTGAACTGGCGGATTAAACGCTAGGCTTCACATATATGTTTACCTGATGTCACTAACTTACCTCGTTACCCATTCATCCAGATGGGTTTCCTTGCTCCCTTTTTGAATAACATTTTCCCATGGTTTCCAAATAAAATTTGCACGTGATTTATCGATTCGCATAGATGTTCTCGAGCCGCTCGTCGAAAAATGACGACTATCAACTTAAGTGCATTTCCCTCTGCAGTTTTCAGTGTTCACTTCTGAATACTCCTGAGAAGCTTCGTAATACCCGATAGAATGTGCTTGGTCTTGTATTCAATTGTTTTAGGTGGTAAGTAACAGCTCTAGCCGAGTGTCTAATAGATTTCCTTGAAGATACGGTTAGGAAACACTCAGAAAACTGAACTAATAGAAAATTATGCACTTTGTCATTTGAAGGCATGTAGAGCCATTTTGTAGACTAAAACAGAGCTCTAAATAACCGGTATTTTCGTCAAATTCACAGCAGAACTCGGAGCTAGTTAGGTAAATACTGCTTTCTGAAGCTTTTCAGTACATGCGGGCATCTCTTGTTATCCGTGCGTAAAGAAAAAAGGTTTATATTGCGAGTTCTATCAGAATGACCAAATTCTCTACCGGACACATTAACGTACATTGAAAGCCGACCGATATTCAGTCGTTCAGGACGTTGATGTGAAGTCACTGTTATGTGGGGCTGGGTTTCAAACCACAAAAGGTGATTGCGTTTGTGACTAAAAAAGGGGCCCGCTCACTTCTACATGGAACTAATAGAAACTGCGGATTCGCTTTCCGGAATTTCAAATATCAACTCAAAACTTATCGAAAAAGTGGTTGGTAAAACCACCTGCAGTACCCAGAGTTTCTGGTGCATTTGATCGATGTTGTAAAATGAAAGGACGTTATCAGAAGCAACCGCATTCGACATACGTCCTCATAATGCAGAGGACCCTACTAAGCATTTTCGTGAGTACCCTGCTTTTGAGATGGAAACAGTCCGCGCTTTTTGGTTGTTGTCTTGCAGAGAGAATCGAGAACAATGTTTTACGAATTTTCTGCCCAAAAAAGTTATCAGACCGTTTTATTTATGTCCCTGATTTCGCTCCGTCGGACACTTTTCTGGAGGAAAAGTTGAGCAGTTCCGGAATCACGCCTTTGAAAGACGAAAACAGTATGCCAACAAAGTAATTCTGCTTTGCTCAATCACTACTTCCCTGTACCTTATGTGGGAACGTTTCTGAGGTTGAGTTTTCAGTGTAACGGTGAGTCTCAAAAAGATCATCGTCAGCCTGCAAACTCCGCTTGTATGTCAAGGTGAACAGGACTTGAGGGGTGTTCCACTCCATGCAAACATTGTGCAGCCTATCTCTTTGTTATCCGTCAAATAAACCCGGTCACAAATTTCAAACACCAGTTGTGGCCCTTATTTTGGTCCATAGAAGCCATATCCGGAAAATTGCATCGTACGGCATATAAATTGAAGAATCAACAAATTATTGATAAGTGGACTGGACGTTGCGACGACAAGTCATGAACGGAGCGAATACTGATAGAAACTAGCACATTATTAGGCTCCGAATACACCTCCATGTGATGAAAAGGAGGGATCTGTTAGACCTTTCGGCCGCCTCGATGAACATCCAACTAACTGAGATCGTTTTCTTGGTTGAGTATCTTTTTTCCAAAAAAATTCTTGGTCTCTTGGTTTCCCTGAAATGAAATTTATTTTACCGAACGTATCGAAGTGCACCATTTTTACGAAATTTAATTTTGAAAATCACAACGACCCCTTCTTCAGACATTTAAAGTACCTAGACTATTTCATTTTCTTTCCTAAAGGGTTGGTTTGTCAGTCCGTATTCAGTAATAATTAGGAACTGGATTATATATTCGTGAATCGGTTCCACTCTCGTGTGCATGCACGGTTTGGTCTTCACCAAAGAAAAAAATGACATATGATACTCAAGCGGACAACGAATGCGATTTTTGACAATGCACAGACACAGTCGAATATCTCTCCACGGACACAAACATTCAGTAAATTTACTGCTACATCGACGGTTTATGACTGGCATGTCAAAAAAGTCGGCACTTAAAACAATTTTAGTGAGGTGAAACAATAAAATAGTTCAACAAGTATTTTGTTTTAGGCAAATAGCTGCGCGTCTGTTAGCACTCTATTGATTTGTGCAGCCGACGACATTCAACCTTCCCCCCACCCACCCCGACATGTCCTTCTAGATGTTTGCACACACATGTGACACATGCTTTAGCTGGATATACAGGTAGGTCATTACGGTCGACAACTGACCGTTTTTGTTCCGGACTGTACCTGACTAGACAACATATGAACTTAGAACTGAGGTTTGGAAAACTTCATCCTCGTTTAGAGGACTGATACGCAAATTCTGCTGGTTCGTATTAGGTGAAGACACCTTTAACTCAACAACTAGTCCGCTGATCGGTCCCCCAAAATTCCTCCTTGTCTGTTACAACGCGGAACGTTGTATTCTTGAGACAGGATGTATATCCTATGCTTCATTAGGCCGAATTACACTGTTCAGTATAGTGGTATCAAGAGTAAATTTAAAGAAATTATATGGTGATCGGCCGCACATTTGCATGCTTTATTGAAGCAACAGTATATTCTTACGACGTCAGACAATATGAGTGTCACCATTCCAGCCTTAAAGGGCGTCTAGTAGATGCCTTGGTCAAGAATCCAAAGACTGCTGAAAGGAGCCTTCCCTCAATATCAAAGGAAGAGATTTTTCTGTTTTAGGCAGCCGCGTGCAAAAAAACAAATCAGACAAGTATATCGTCAAGTAAAATGCGGCACTTACCAGTTATATTTATTAACAAACCTACAAAGATTTTGGATAGATCCACTGCAAAACAGCCTGCAACTATCAACTTCTACAACTTGGTACAAGTTAGTAGTCGGCAAATAAAGTGCTGTTGTTTTGCCGGGGCTTCAGTTTCCCAAGATCATTAGTTTTGTGGAGCTTTTTAGGAGGTAGGCTTACTGTCCGACCTTATACTGTAAAAATGATGTCAGTATTTCATGTCGGCTTCTTAGCCGCATAGTTGCGAACTTTCCCACACCCAGGTGCTCTAACGGGTTAATTGCCATTACGATGCACGAAGCATTTCGGAACACACCACCAAACTTGAAAGTTCTGTACGAAGAGCATGGCCGGTTTCAGCATGTCCACACTGTACTCAGTACGAATGGGGCTGAATGGATTTTCTTTTGATATGGTTGATTATCGGCGGAAAGGCACAATGTGAAGTATGGAGGCCTCGATCGCCGGGATTGACCTTCTCAACAACAAAAGTGATCAAAATTAACAAGAACTCAAAAACCACAGTTAAGTTCTTCCCAGTGTGCGCAAGCACTCCAGTCATTTCCTCAAGGCCGCATTTGTGATCGATTACAGATGCTGTTTTAAGAGATGCATGATGTATTAGCTGTGATTTTGTTTTTTACCATCTTTTTTCTGAAATATTTAGACCAGAATTTGTTTTTCAGTGAATTAACTTCACATTTGTATGTTTTGCCTTCTTTGTCCATGGTTGTTTGTGCCATTCGCTCCTTATTAGGTTTACAAAGGTCGTTCCTCCTTTTACCTTGACGGAGGTGTTCGTGGTTAACATCAAAATGTCACGTTATTCATATTTTGTACTTCCCAATGCGTCCAGAGGTTTTACTAAGCTTTGGT